TAAATAAGTAAGACAATAAATAAAATACATGGCGTTTATATTTATGCATAATAGAAGAATTGATGTATTTAATATTATAAAATTGAAAAGTGGTGTGATCTGCTTATCTAAGAAATCATTAGACCTTTTTCAGATTTCACTCTAATCAAAATATATTGAGCTTACTATTCTCGATATAAGCTAAGGGCTTACTTTTATATATTACAATTAATAATATACATCATATACTTAGTAAATTATAGATTCTCTTTAAAAAAATTATTTTCATAATTTGTATAGACTTCAGATCTTAGGGCTTCCAAAATCTTAATGTAAGTTATTTTTTGAGGATCCATGAGACGTGTAAGGCTATATCAACTCTATTTAGTCAAATGTGAACTTTTTTCAATAAATGATGTAAAATTAATTTCATTTATGACATAAAATTTTCAAAGGCATCCTTACAATAGTATCCTGAAAGATAACTTATGATTGAATTTACACGCTTTTAAATTCACAAGAATAATTACAATAAATTTATTGAATTTGCAAAGAAATATTTTAGCAAAATGCTCGAAGAAGAAGATTCATCAAGTGGTATCCATTATATGATTAGTATTTTGTATATTGTTGTAATATATATATTTTATATTAATAATCAAAAGAGAAATTCATAAGAGTTAAACAATTATCATATATTAAGAAAGATATTTTATAATAAAATTTATTAAATGAGAATAATATTTTAATAGAAAAAGGGAATTATTAAATATCTTATTTTAATTAATTATATTAATGTCATCTGATCTAGATAAGAAATTGTGTTAAAAGCATAAATTAGAAATTTTAACTATAGATTTAAAATAATCAACTGCTGACGAGGACAAATACCTTTGTATAAAGTGCCTAATGGAAAAAATTGATATTTAAAACATGGCTTTGGTTGAAGAGACAAAGACAATGATTAAGTAAATGAAAAGTGAGCAATTAAATAACAAAATCAAAGAATATTAAAGTAGAATTGAAAGTTTTAGATAAATACAATCATAAATTAAAGAATTTAAATTATTGATCAACAACACTATTGACAAAATTTAAAGTAACATAGATTAAAAAATCACTCTAATGGAGAATGAACTAGATGAATCAGAATCAAAAACTTTTGTTTCTTCTTTTGAAGAAGATGTCAAAGTATTATCAAAGAATTACAAAGGATCATTCAGCTTTGAAATACCTAAAGAATTGGAGAAGTTTCTGGATGACAATTCTTATATTGATTCTATTTCACAATAGTTACAAACTATAATAAATTGCCCAAAATTAACATAAATTAAAGAAGCCTTAGAAAAGACTAAAGTGGAAAGTGGAAATTCAGAAATAAAGTAAGTCTAATTACTTTCTAAAAAGGAGGAAGATCCATAGGTAATTATTATTTTTTAACTATTACAAATAGAAAACACCAAATTTGAAAATTTAATGTAATAAACATGGAAAAGAAATTATTATGTTTAATTTGAATCCTGAAAAAACTCAGTTTTCTAGATTGGCTTGTGTTGAGTGTATATAATCAAATGATCCAATCAAATACACAACCTTAGGAGATGCTAGTTGTAGATGGAATGAATATTTAGGATAAACTAGCGATTAGGTTAAACGATTTTAAAATTAAAGATGTTTGAAATCATCATAACTCATTGAAATATTTCAAGAGATAAAGGAAAAATACAATTCCAGTATTTCAGAAATAATCAATAAGGTAAACACTTAATACTTCTCTTAAAATGAAACTAATGAATTTAATGAAAATATAATTTTTGAAATGAATACTGAGGAAGTTAACGAATTAACTGAAATATTAAGTTAGAATAATAAATTCTAAGCTTTGGATGAAAAGTAATTAAATATTCAAAAAGAAGACCTTGATTAACTGGAAATCATATCAACTAATTTTGGAAAATTGTTATAAAATGATTTAATTGCAACTGAAAAGATTAATAAAATCTTCAAGGAATCAAGTTAAAATATTTCTAATGAATAGAAGAATGACATTTTACAAGATGATAATCCAATTTCAAATCATCTATAAATCAAGCAACTTAACTTACAACTACAGAATTTCAAAATATATTAGGATATCTTAAAGGAGGCCTTAAATTAATATGATTTAATTATACAAACAATAAATAGTTTGTTAAATTAATTCAAAGATATATAATTATAACAAGTAAAACCTCTATTAATATTAATAAGTTTAAACAATATGTATCGAAGTTTGATAAAGATTTATCTCTTATACAAAAATTCTCTTAGTTTGATTAATTTGAAGCTGAATTGAAGTTGCACAAGCAAGAGAAGGAATAACTGTAAAATCTACTCACAGAAAGTGAAAAAATTAATTTAGGGAACCAATAAGTTATAATAGACCTTAAGAAAAATGATGTAGAATAAATAAAGCTAATATAAGATTTGAGGAAATAAAATGAAGGCTAATAAATTAAAATAAAAGAACTTGAATAATAAAGTAATTTTAAATAGTATTCAATCTCTTAATAGAAACTTAAAGTGAAGTTTTAGTTAAGGAATAAAATCAGAAGAATGAGGAAATGATAAAATAATTATAATAAACTTTGGTATAAGTAAATGCTTTATTAGAAGTAGGTTTAGTTATTCTCTTAATAACTGACTTTCTCAACAATTTATAAGCATAGTAATTGTTCAGTTACTTAAAATGGAAAAGTTATTGAGACAAATTAAAGTAATAGTTGGTAATGTTGTATGTGTGATTAAATGATCCCTAAGAATGGTGTGATCTAATTTGCTATTAAAATTATTGAAATTAATACAATTTTGATAGGAATTGGTTTTAGGGATATTGTGTAAAGTAAGAATTATGTCAATTGTTATGAGATTGGATAAGGGTATATTTATGATATTAATAGAATCAAAATAGAACATATAATATTTATTATGATGGTTAGTGTTATAATCATGATTAATAAGATAAACATAGAAAATTAATAGCATTTCCATTTTCAACAAATGATATTATAATTGTTGAAGTGGATATTTAAAAGAAGTATGTGAAATGGACAAAGTAATCCACAAATCAATCATTCGTATCAATTTCTATTTATTATTATTATTAGACTCTCAATATTGATACATCCAAAGATTTGTATCCATGTGTACAATTACAAGGTAGAAGTAAAGTAGAGATATTAAATTAAGTATTTAAATGAAAATTAATAATTCTAAATTTATTCATGTTTATTCAATATTTTTATTAAATGAAAATTTTATGTATAAAATTTATCAATTTCAATACCAATTGTTTTAGTTTTTTTGTTATATACCTTGAATAAATTTCGATAAAAAAATGATTTTTTCATCATTATCTCTGTTAACTATTATTCTGATGAAACTTACATATTTAAAAAAATTTTAGCTTATAATGCTATATATTATAATTTAAAAATGGAATAGATTCGATTTGTAATGAGAGTAATCAGATTGACTTGTTTGCAGTGTTGAATTTAGTAATTATCAGACTATTTTGGTTCTTGGAAGTTGAAATTAATCTTTTAATTTTTAAGAAATTCAATTGAAAAGGCCAAATAGATTTACAATAGATGGATGTTTAAGTAAATTTAATTTTTTCTCATTTAAGTTGATTTAAGATTAATCAGGTCATTTTCCAAAAGATTTCTCTTATATTCCATGAGAAGTTGTTAATTTAAAGTAAATTAAAATCTCAATAAAAATACAAATAAAATTTAGACTAAAATAGAAACCGATACTTTTTTATTTAGTTATAAAATATAAATTTTAAATTATGAAAGCTTAACAAATATAAATAATAATCCATTTGTATTTGGCAATGTTTGGTGACCTAAAATGATTCAGCTCAACAGCTGTTAATTTAAAATATTTAAGAAAGTTTCTTCTTAATCATCCCTAAATTATTATTATTATACAAATTTATCTTTAGTTTAGCTAAGCTGGAAAAACAGGTTAAAAATCTCATTCAGTTAATTGAACTTGCAAGAGCTTTCTGTCTCCATATCCATTCTTTAGTTTTTTGAAGATTATTTTTTAAATATAGATAAACTTTGGAATAGATTTGGAGAGTTGACAGCTTAATGATTTAAGAATTAACATAAATTCTTTTATTCATGCTTTACTCATCTTCTAATTATTGCAATATATTGGTTTAAATCTTTGAATAATCTCCAACATCCCCAAAAGTAGAAAACAAAAAAAGGTCAATATTTCAAAAATTTATTATTGCATTCCTCTAATAGTTTTTTTAGCCAGGATAACTTTTAGGAATTATCAATTTATTTGTCATATATTTTTGATCTTACACATAAAGTCTTATAAATCCAGAAGATTATAATGTAATAAAAATTAAAAACAAATATTTAATTTAAAAATATTAAATTTTTTTGATCGCATTCATGTCAATGTTAGTCTTTATTTATATATTCCTTACTTTTGATTAATTAATTATTAAATTGAAATTAGGAAAATATTGAAATTAAAAATTTCTAATCTTTTGAAAAAATGATTCAATTTGAGTATACATAAGTGTTGTTGATAATTTCAAATAAATTTAATTAACATGATTATGAATTTTTTGAATTAAGTTTAAAAGAAATTCCATAATATTTATAAAGTGCGAATGGAAATAATTTACAACTGATTACTTATTTGATAATTTGAAATTATAGATTGAATATTTTTGACCAATAAATTAATTTGGAAAACTTATCATTAAACGATTTCCTATGTTATTAAATACAAATCATTTTATTATTTTCAAATTGTAATTTTTGTAATTAGGCTCAATTCAATAAATAAATTTACTTAAAATTCAACCTCATTAATAATTTTGAATTCTACTTTAAAAACAATTTACGTAAAGGAATTGAAACAAAGCTGCTGATTTTATGTGACACAAAAAATAAAGATGGGTTGAAAACTGAAACTTTGGAATTTTCATACATTTTCTCTTTTGATTAAAATTGCTAATTTCATCACATTTCATGCTTATGTATAATAGAGAATCGTTTCTTAGATCATTAGCAAATGAGATGACCGCAAAAGATATTTCATCTAGAATGTATTGAAATTAACTCTTTCAGTCTAGCAGATCTGGTTATGTAAACTCAAGTATGGACTCGGTTACAGGAGTTGAGATCTTGATTTTACCTCTTTGATTCCTTAAATCAAAGAATATAATCTGATTAGAGTGAAATTGGTTAAGTAAATTTGGATTTGAGATCATATAGCAGGAATGATAGCTCCCTACTTATAAAGCTGTTTTGGTCAAGTATGACCCAAGGGACATAGATTTGGTTATGATCTAAGCATTTCTATTTGGATTGAATTGATCTGTATAATTTAGGTTTAAAGAAATGGAAGGTTCTCCAATTATTCGCCCAACAAAAGGTTAATTTTAAAGAATAGATAAGCCTTAATTAAAAGTCAGATTTAAAGTTAAAAAATTAAAGCCTTGAGAGCATAATATATAACAAAAGAGGTATTAAGACTGATATTTAAATTTAGAAATCTTCGGTTTTAAGAAAATATTTAAAATATTAATAGGAATATTAAAATAATCCATCATAAAATAATCAGATTAATCAGATATATTATTAATTAGGTTGATTGCGAATTAGAAAATTTTTACCATTCTTAGAGTATTGATGGAGTCAGAATTCCGATAGATTTGTACAAGTATATGGAACCTGAGTTTTCCCTATTTACGATACAAAAATTTGTACTATACTGCTTTGAAGAAATATGTTTATCTTCTGAAGTGGAACAATAACATTCTGATATTAAGTTTACAAAGAGATCATTTTTAGCTGTTAAAGGAGTATTAAACAAAGGTTAATTTATGGACTTAACTAATTAAATAGTTTGGAAGTGAATCTAGATTAAACACTGAGGTTAGTAAGACTTTAGAAGATTTTATATTGGAAAACCTATCACTTAATATGGCTTTTAAATTAGGAAAGGAATAGAAGATTAAATTTAAGAATTAGGTAGATTTTCAAAGAGTGTAAATTGAATAAGAAGATGAGATATTGGAGAGTAAGAAATCACAGGTAAGATCTGGTAATGATGTTTTCTTCTCCCCCTGTAGGAATTGTTTAAAAATACGAATGAAGAGATATTAACAACCCCCTTAGCAAAACTCAGTTGTAACTTTATAGGTTTGTTTAAAGGGGAAGTTCAATATACTATTTAGGAGTATTTAAGAGTAGCTATTGAGAAGGTAAGTAATAAAAGTCAATTCAAAAGAAGGAGGAATAGTTAGTTCTATCAATAAATAACTCAAGTAATTACATAACTGAAAAAATTAACGAATAAATCTAATTTGAATTAAGATAATAATTTTTGGAGATTTATAGATAATTCTATTATAATATGATGCTTTAAAAACTAGAGGTTTTTCCTGTTTATAAGATTTTTTTACTTATAACAGTTTGAAGTTCAGGCCCCTTGAAACTTTTACCTCAGAGCCAATATTTATAACACTTAATGAAATAGTCATTTTAGTAACCCTATAATTCTTTATACCAAATGAAGGTTGAATTATATTTAATGCATAGATAGCATACTGCTAAAAGTTCGACCTAAAAGGTAGAAATTTTGAGTCAAATACTTGTAAAGGCATTTTATACAAGCATTATGACTCTGTAGCTGTTTGTATATTTTAATCCAATTATAATAAAGATTTGCCACTCTTTATAAAGATGATCTATCTAAATCTATCACAATTAAATTTTAATTAAAATGGAGGGTACCAGATAATGCCTAGCCTAATTCTATCTTGGTAACATAATGCTGCTGAAGAGTAGAAGAGCCCTTTCTTATTGACATAGACCACTCAGCCTTACTCCTATAAGAAGGTGAATAACTTATTCACAATCTGATCATATAAAGTCATTCCTTACGGTATTATTTATGGCAGGTCATCTCTATATTCTAATTTGTCCTTTTCCAAGTATAAGCGTGACTACCTTTTACATCTAATCAATAATTTTTTTAATTTGAGATATCAATCTTATGGCCCGCAAATATTCGTCTCCTCATTAGAATTTAGATTCCAAGTTTAGAGAAATCTATTGAGACTCCTTTAGCATTCAGAGCTCTCTTAAATGGAGAGAGAAATTTAGGGATTATTAAAATCCCTATGTATTAGTTGTTCTTATTTATTCCTAAATACTCAACAGCTCGTGGTCCATAATTGTTTAAAGGAGAGAGGGCAAATTTTCCTTTCCTTTAGGCTCTTCGCTGGCCTATTAGGGTCCTTGGATCTCAGTTTATACGCTTACTTCTTTGAGTTAGTCTCTATTACACCCTAGGAATCTAGAATTACTTCATGTTTTTTAAAGGATTTGAAATAATAGTAGAATAAATAATAGAGATACTAATATTTCTAAAATATATAAATTAACCTTAATTGTGTTAATATTATCCTAATATCTAAATCCAGGCATTTGGATTGATAAGAAATTATTAAATCACTAAAGATGAACTAACTATATTAATCAATGTAAAAACTCAACCATTTTATTATTCTTTAACATAGATATTTTTAGTTATAGCAAATCTTCCATATTTGGCTTTTTAATTGAAGATAATGATTTTATTAAATAGAGTTTTTAGACCAGTTCCAATTTGACCTGTTAATAAAATGATTTTTTTCATTTTATTTTATTTATAGTTTCTTAAAAGCTGACCTTTAAATATTCAAATTTTGAATTTAATATTTTTATGAATTTTTTATTATCAATTTAAAATATGTATATCATCATAGAAAAAAACTCAATTTCTAAATCTTTTCTTGTTCTACTTTAAATATTACTAATAACTCCTATCATATTTTATTGTTTCTCTTACAATACGATCTGTACTCTATACTATTTCTTCAGCTTACATAAACCTTTTTGCATTTTCAAATATTCCACAAATGAATTACTATCTGTATCCTTCATTATTAAAAATAAATTAAAATCACAAGAATTTCAACTACTAGATAGATTTAGACACCCTCTTCTAAGAAATTATTCTCAACTTAAAACAGAAATTCAATTAGATTAATCCATTTTAACATACTTTGCAGATTTGATAAAAATGAATTGTTGAGGTTTTATTTATTATAATTTAAACTTAAAGATTTAAACGATTATTAAATTTTGTGGTTTGATGTGTTCGATTTTAAGATTAAAAGAAAAGGTGATTTAGTATTAAGAAAGATTCCTAGTGATTTAATTCCTAGATTCCTTGGTTATATGGCTAATAAAAATCAATTTACATATTTTATCTTCACTCGATTAATATTTAATATTTAATTAAATCAAAAAATTTATGATGAAGTTAAGAATATCAACTTTTCAGGAAGAAAAGAGTATACGTAAAAAGTGACAATAGAAATAAAAAATATTGCCAAAAGAATAAAAATTATTTTTTTGTATAAAAAGAAAGGCAGTGTAGTTTGGTTGAGAATTAAAACAACAGTGCTATTTTATGAAATATTATAGGTTAATTATGATATATATTTTATTAATGATGTCTAAACATATTCATTTCATATTTTTTAATTCCCTAATTAATTGTCTAAACCAATTTTATTCTATTTTGCAATACTAAACTGATTGTTCTTAAGTATCTTTAGCTTATTAATACTTCTTCAATTACGATAGTAAATAACCTAATAAAATCAAAAAACTGATTAACCTTTATTGAAAAAAAGGCTAATGCTTAATTAGGATCCAGTTAGATTGCTTTATCATAGCAATCAATTGCATCTTTTTATTTACAAAGACTTTATAATGAATACCCTTAAAATATAAAACTAGTAAAGTACCCTACATCATATAACTAATAGAATATTTTAAATCAGAATTTAATGCTTTTTCAATGCACTAAATTGCTTATGAATGTTAATTCAAATCTTATAAAGTAAAGCCTGTTGTACATAATATATGATTACTTTTTCTATATAATGCAGACTTAAAAGGTTCTTCTATCAAATTTTTATCACATAACTAGATTGCTTCTTGTTATTTCTTCTCTTCATTTAATGCATAGTCTGTTGAAATTATTGATTTCATTTACTTTTTGCAGTTAAAACAAATGCATTTTGTGGATTTAATGTTAGTTTTATATTTGAATAATCCAAAAGATCTATATATAGGTTACTATTAATCTATTTAGCTTATTCTCTCATTTTTATACCTTTTCTAGGTTGATTCATTTCAATTAAAGTCATACCTTAATTATATAAATATTTTGAAGTACTTTAAGAAAGTAGCAAATGATTTTTTTTTTTTCTAATAATTTAAAGTATTAATTTATTTTTTCATTAGCCTCCTACCAAAGAAAAGAGATACATTCTTCCTTAGTGATCTTGTTCAAATCCAAATCAATCATTTTAAGGAATATTTCTTATAATTAAATTATAAGAATGAATTTCAAAATAGAAAACTAATTTCAATAAAAATATGAAATGCAAGAAAAATCAATGGAATCTCATGTTTCCTGTATATTTATATAGAATTATTTTTGAAATTTAAATTTGCAATAACCTTTTCAATTGAATAAGCATTTTGTTATGCTTTATAATATTTATCCCCTGTTTTGAATTACATACATACAATTATTTGTTATTTATTTTGCTTTTGGTGCTCTAATATACAATCGATGAGATAATTTATCGAAAAATATTTTGTATGATAGGTTTTTGAGACTTAAATACTTTATTATTTATTTTTAAGGTTAGCAATATTTTAGTAATTTCTTTTAAAATGATGTTATTTAAAGCTCAATTATTCAAGAAAAATAAGATTAAACTACTAAAATTTTTCAAAAATTTAAAAGTTAGAAAGATGGTTTTTAATTGAGAGAGATATTAAAAAAATTTCTCCTTTTAACAAATTAATAATAAGCTTGAAATTTTAGATGCTCATAAGCAGTTAATCATGTCTAAGCTTTGTGTTTTAATAAAATATAATGACCTACATAATAATACAAATTTTAATGTAATATGATCTAATTTTAATTATTTCATTTTTATTTTATAATATATAATAATTTTCACTAAATTTTTCTAGAATGTTTATATACTTTGGATATCTTTCTTCAAATCAGATCATCAAGTATATATACATCTTTATCTAAATTACATTCTATTATTTATTTTCGAAGGAGTTCAATTATATCTTTTTCCCAAAGTTAATATGGGTTAATTTTATAGAGCATTAATCTCAATTCTTAAGTGATCCAATATATTTCATTTTTAAATAATCTTTTCTGTTTTAATTCCATATATCCAAAGATAAAAATTTTAATTACATCTAATAAAACAAAAAGAAAAGAAAATTTATTGCATAAACTTACCAAAAAATTTAAGAAATCAGCTTTTAAACTTTGCTTAATTGTATTGATGAAAATATCAAACATTAAACGGATGTATTAATTAATTGTTTTTTATTTGGGATTAAAATGAAATCAAGATATTAAGGCACTATGAATTGGGATTTTGGTCATCAAAACAACATGATGCCTACATTAACTTTAGTATAGAGCCGTAACGCAGGATTTGGAAGTCCGGGGCTGCTCTTGGAAAGGCCTTAAGTCGCTCAAGATCTCTGTCCCCTTTTGGAACTTATTAAAGAGCACACATTGTATGATTATATGGAATTCCAAAAATAATTTGCCTCAATGAACAGAACAAACAAAGAGGATTAGATAGGAATTATATATAATTTCCCATCCCAGTATCATAAATAAATGATACCAAATCCAGAGTAAAAAAAAAATTAAATACCATAGCTACATAGCTATCAGTATTGGTAAGTAGGTAGATACAGCGAGGAAAACCTATATAATCGAAAAATCTTTAAGAATGTGTAAGTTTATGGTATCATTGATGAGAGGAATAAGCAAAAAGGAGAGTAAAAAACTTTTTAGTGCTATATGAATATTAGAGGATAGGAAGGAAATTTACCAATTATTAAATAATGGTTAGTAAAGTAACGAAAGAGAATATTTATAAATTAAGATGGATTATTTTCTAGTCTAGCTCCTTTATACTTCTAAAAAAATAAAGTGAATGAAGTTATTGACTTTTTAGAATGGAATAACAATCTTATTCTAATTATTATAGAAAGGGATGTAGTTCATTCCTTAAGAAGGCTTAATGAAGGGGAAGTGGATTCTTTCTTGATTAATTAGACGAATTGGAGCTGGAAATTAAGTAAGTTCTATGGAAGGTAACAAAGAATTTGAGTAACAATAAAGGGAATAGTTGGTCTATACTGGAGTTTAAATTCAGAATCAATAGAAGAAAGTTGTGGAATGAATTTTAGAAAATGTGAAAAGAAAATATGTAAGCTCATAACTCAAAGGAAATAAAATGAACTAAGAGAGGATTTGTAAAATGTTAAATTATAATCTATAGCTAATTATGTTAAGAGGGAATTCTCTGCTCTGGATTGAACTTTTGAAACTATCTAATCTTAGATAGGGGTATTAATATTGGGTGACCACATTGTGGGAATGGTTGACGATGGAGTTTTATAAAGATTCGATATTTCAACTATACTATAGATTGGATAGGACCATTTTGATAATGAGGACTTTTTATTCATAATAGTACAACGAGTAATGCCAGGATTGAGTTGAAGAGTTTGAGTCATATTTTAAATACATTTAATTTAATGTTAAAAAAAATATACAAATTTAAATAACAAAAAATTTTAAATCACTTAAGCATTCATTATATCAATCGATTTTTTATTGAAAAAGCAGTATTTAGAATGCATTGTTGTTATCTAAGTGCTTATATGTAGATTTTATTTTGTATTTTCTAATTTTCTTATTTAATTAAGTGCATAAACTAAAATTAAAAATTTCTAATTCATTAGATTTATGACGTACAATCGTCTTATTTACTCAGAATGAAAAGAAGACAAAACCAAAATACAAAATTAATTATGTGTATGAGTAATTTAAACAGATAATGATCTAAATTGTCGAAAATGACTCTTAATCTGATTTTTTTATCTTCATCAATAATGTGGAGACAAAAATGACCTGTCTAATAAGTAGATCTTCATCAAAAAAAAAGGTAATACCGTCCCCTTCTCTTTTTATAAAATATTTTGATCAGAATTTTCCTGGAAACAAGGTTACAAGGTAACCTTCATCAGAAGGGTCAGACTAGATTTTAGAACCAAATATAAAATACCCTAAAAAGATTATTTATTTAAAAATGATTGTTCATAAACACATAAATAAATCACACATCAATTACACGAGGGTTCAAATTTAAAAACAATGAGGAAGATCTCCTGTTCACATCTATTTTAGTTTTAACAAAAATGTTGAGACAAATTTAATAAGTCCAAAAAGTACATATTTCTTTTTTCCCAGAAATTTTAAAAGGGGGAGTATAACTTTTTTTTGGGTTGGACCCTTTGAAAATAAAATCTTATTAAATTATTTACTCAAGTCTTTAAATATAATATTCAAGATTTAGCTCTCTATCAAAAACGAATAGAATAACAATTGTTTACTATAAGTATAAATCAAACAATCAAATTACAATAATAACTTATGTTCCATAATATTTAGCTCAAAAAATAATTATTGATTTTTCATATAAAGGTTGAGTTAAAATTTAATTTTTGTATAAATTAAAATGTTCATATATAAATAAAGATATTCTATATCATTAAAAAATAAAGCAATATGAATGTTGAAATGAATCCTCTAAAGCATATTTTACCTCTATTACTATCCATTCAAAAGCTACACAAAGCCTGAGCTTCTATTTTGCAAAATACATAAGATACTTTTATTGATTTTGCAGAATATAACTATAAATTAGAGTAATACAAATTAAAAATTAAAAATAACAAACAAAATGCAGGGCTCTTTTTAATCGAAGTAAGCTCTAACTGACATATTTGATTAAATAAAAGATGTAGACATATAAATCTTCGGGTTCATATTAGAAATATTAAGAAAGGAAAAAGTGTAAGACTGCATAGGATTTCTATCAGACATTAGGAATCAAAGGCAATTAGAATCATAAATTTTACAACAAGTTGGGAATTTTACCCAAGCTGAAACACAATAGAAATTGCTTATTTTGAGAAAGGACTTGAAATAAATTACAATTGTCTTAGAAACATTAAAAGATCATGACTTCAATAAAAAAGACTAATCTAGTGATGAAAATTAAGAATCTACATAAAGTCTAGTTAATAGTATAAAGGATAATAAATAAATCATTGAATTTTTCTAATTTTTAGTTTTGCTCACATCCATAGATAAAACTTTAATTTAAAGTGGATCAAATTCTTTACACTTATTGGTTCAGATGATCGTAGACCTTAGAAACAGAAATTTCGAAAAAATTAAAATCCAAAATACTTCTTTAGTAGGAGCTAATTTTGTTAGGTGCAATTTTAGTGAATCTTAATTTAATAATGTCAACATAAGTGGAATAAATATTAACGGTTCAATATTATATAATTGTTAATGGAAAAAAATGAAAATCGATGAATTGAATAAATTGGATGGTCATAGTGGGAGTGTGAGATCAGCCTGTTTCTCTTCTGATGGAAATACATTAGCTTCTTGTAGTTATGATAAGTCTATCAGTCTATGGGATGTCAAAACAGGATAATAAAAAGCCTAATTGGATGGCCATAGTAATACTATCTACTCAGTTTGTTTCTCTACTGATGGAAATACATTAGCTTCAGGTAGTGAAGATAAGTCTATCCGTCTTTGGGATGTCAAAACAGGAAAATAAAAAGCCAAATTGGATGGTCATAGTAATACTATCTACTCAGTTTGTTTCTCTACTGATGGAAATACAATAGCTTCAGGTAGTGAAGATAAGTCTATCCGTCTTTGGGATGTCAAAACAGGATAATAAAAAGCTAAAATAGATGGTCATAAATATGGTGTCTGCTCAGTTTGTTTCTCTCCTGATGGTCATACGTTAGCATCTAGTAGTTTTTATGAGTCTATTCGTTTATGGGATGCCAAAACAGGATAATAAAAAGCCGAATTAGATGGTCATACTAGCACTGCCTACTCAGTCTGTTTCTCTCCTGATGGAAATACATTAGCTTCTGGTAGTAGTGATCATTCTATCCGTCTTTGGGATGTCAAAACAGGATATTAAAAAGCCTAATTGGATGGTCATAGTAAAACTGTCTACTCAGTTTGTTTCTCTCCTGATGGATATACATTAGCTTCTGGTAGTGATGATAACTCTATCCGTCTTTGGGATGTCAAAACAGGATAATAAAAAGCCAAGTTGGATGGTCATACTAACACCGTCTACTCAGTTTGTTTCTCTCCTGATGGAAATACAATAGCTTCTGGTAGTAAAGATTATTATCTCCGACTTTGGGATGTCAAAACACCATAATTAAAAGCCAAGTTGGATGGTCATATTAGTTTAGTTAATTAAGTCTGTTTCTCTCCTGATGGAAATTTATTAGCTTCTTGTAGTTATGATAAGGCTATTCGTTTATGGGATGTCAAAACAGGAGAATAAAAAGCCAAATTGGATGGACATAGTTATTCTGTCTACTCAGTCTGTTTCTCTCCTGATGGTCATACATTAGCATCTGGTAGTAATGATAATTCTATCCGTTTATGGGATGTCAAAACAGGATAATAAAAAGCCAAATTAGATGGTCATAGTGATTCTGTCAACTCAGTCTGTTTCTCTCCTGATGGTCATACATTAGCATCTGGTAGTAATTATGATTCTATCCGTTTATGGGATGTTAAAACAGGATAATAAAAAGCCAAATTAGATGGTCATAATGATGATGGTATATCAGTCTGTTTCTCTCCTGATGGAAATACGTTAGTTTCTGGTAGCTATAAATAGTCTATCCGTCTTTGGGATGTCAAAACAGGATAACAAAAAGCCAAATTTGATAATCATAGTGGCTTACCAGTCTGTTTCTTTCCTGATGGATTTACATTAGCCTCTTGTAGATATAAGTCTATCCGTCTATGGAATGTCAAAACAGGATAATAAATAGCCAAATTGAAGGTATATGATAGTCCTGTCTACTCAGTCTGTTTATCCCCTGATGGTCATACATTAGCATCTGGTAGTAAAGATGGGTCTATTCGTCTTTGGGATGTCAAAACAGGAAAATAAAAAGCCAAATTAGATGGTCATACTAGAATTGTCTCATCAGTCTGTTTCTCTCCTGATGGAAATAAATTAGCATCTGGTAGTTATGATAAGTCTATCCGTCTATGGGATGTCAAAACAGAATCAGAAATTAAGTTCTCAGATAAAAACTACTAAGATATTCTTTCATCAATTAAGATTCAGCTCCAATAACAATACCATATATCCGAAGGTATTATTTATCCCCTATCATATTTTTAGCATACAATTACATTACTACACTCTGCATATCCTAATCCGCAATATTCTAAGCATAAGGAGCGCTAATTTATAAAGGAGAGTTTATAAATTAATCAGGAATAGATTTAAAGAAATTTTTTTAACAAAAAGGAAGTTGCTTTTTAGAAGACTTATAAAAAAAGTGATTTTATTAATTATCAGCATCAATAAAATTATCAATAAAAATCAAGTTTAATATTATTTTATAATGTTTAATAAGTTCAGCTCTTCTTTTTTTTTTTAGATATTTAAGTAAATTTTTTTCCACACACCTCATCTAAAGATTATAAAAATCTACAGTCAATCAAGTGGAGGGAATAATTATGGATATGTCAATACAACTCTTAGCAATAAAAATTTATAAAGATTTAAATTTAAATCTTGCAACATTAAATAAATGCTCTCCAAATTTTCAAAGGTCTACACTAAACAAAATAAAGAAGCTAAAAAAAGGTGTGCAATAATTTATTATTTTATGTAAATTAGCATAACTCCATTCTTATTAAATAATCTAGGATATTATATGATAGATTTATTTAATTTATTACTGTATAAAAGTAGGATTAGTCTTAAAAATTATTATTAATAGTTTTGTAAAATTAGTTTATATATAGGTTAGGATATAATTTAAAAAAAAAGACACATCAAGAATTAAAAAATAAAGTTAATATTAGAAATAATTTAAACTATAACAAAGTTAAAACAATTAGATTGGATGATTTTTCATATTCAAAGTAACGTACCAATCACCTTTGATTATTATTCCTTAATTGATATTAAAAGTATTAGATATTGAAAAAGAATGAAAAGATAAATTAATCATCAAAAAGTATGATATTCCGTAAAATGATTATTATTTAAGGAGATAATAATTATGTC